GAGATGACTACTCAGAACCAGGAAGAAGGCTCAAGGCAGAGCACACACCCAGCATAACAAGCGGGTCCCCCAACTTTCCAGTGGGAAGACAGACACATACATAAGTCCAATACTCTGTGGTTCACAGCTACTACAAAGGCAAGAGCAAAATGCAGCATGAAAGCATCTCAAGTGGAAGTGCCTGTCTGGGGGAATTCCAGCATGGCCTCCAGAGATGAAACTGGATCTAGGTCTTGGGGAACTAACAGAGACTTCCCCATCAGAGGTAAGAGCGTGAACAAAGGCACAGAGAAGTGAAGGCACATGAAATGCTTAGGGAGTGGATTGCTTGAGTGGACAGAGAGTGACGGGGCTTGGAGAAGGAAGGCGGGTGCAAGCTGGCCCGCAAAGGAGTTTACCACATGTCAGAACAGAGAATAAGGAACCAGTGGGGATTCTCAACTATGGGGACAACATAATTAGAGCTATTCTGGAGAGCTCAGTGGAAAGCTAAGGGCCATCACACACCTCGGTAGCTGGTATTTACAAACACTTCTCTCCTGTCCTGATTTGCCAAGACAGCACAGGACCTTAAAAGACTCTACTTCAGCATGTAAAATTTTTAAGAAAGCTTTTTTTTTTCACAGTGACATAAATATGACGGCACATTAAAACAGAAATGCAAAACATGGCTTATTATTCACAGCATCATTCAGGAAAAGGGCCAGACTCAAAAGAGTGTTTAGGGGCATCTCCTCCTGAAGCAACTATTTCCAATTGCATGGGAACTGATGTCAAGATCCTAAAGGCTTTCTGGGAAGGTCTAGACCACTCCTAGGACTTGGCAGGAAATGATGACAGAGCCAGAGAGCTAGAACTTTGACTTTCACCAAAACAGAGTCAGCATGTTCAAATCCTAATATATCTCTTTCCCCATATCTTTCTTGCTTCCTATTTGCAATACCACCGGCTTTGGTGAATTTTGAGAAAGGGCTGACATCTCTTGACGCTTCTCTACAAAATCCGACCTCCCAGTCAATACTTTGATACCCTGTAGCCCTCTTTTTCTCTTGTTGCCATAGAGGTGCTTTTATCCTCCTTGATCCTCCATCCTCAGGCTTTTCTTGTCACCCACTGTACTTTCAAAATTTCTTGCTACTTTGCTCTCCCCCTCCAAAGAGTCTAAAGACATGGCCAAAAGGTTCATGTCCCTTTCAAATCACTATTTACTTCTTGCTGCTTCTAGAACTTTCACAAAGAAGAAAAGGCAAAGCTAAGGAGCAGAGGCATGGCAGATGTGAAACATACGTGGTGGTTTCGTCTTCTGGGGCTCCATGTGCCCACATGACTCTGCCCTCTTGGCTCCCAAGATACTTTTCCGTGGCCTCTCCTCCAACATCTTCTTGCACTGGTTCCCTCTTTCCTTTGTACACACTTCCACTCACTGCCTGGTTCTTCCTTTTTGAGACCCCAAAAAACCACACTGACATCAACCCACAACGAAGGCCCCTCTTGGAGCTCTTAAAAGTACTTTCAAGGCCAAATGCTTCTACCAACACATTTCCACAAGGGCTGTCCCACTGCAATTTCCCAGTTCTCGCCTGACGAGGCTGTTTGATATCCTTCCTGCAGCTCAGGCTTCAGAACAGAGATGACAGGTTTTAGACTCTATCTCATTTTTGTTCCCTTCCTTGTTCCTGCCAGGCCACTGACAGCACCTCAATATGGCTTTTTAACTGGTGATCAAGTAAACAATGGCAAAGATGGCTGTGGGTTTGAGGAGTCCGAAGAAAATGGAAACACAAAAATGTCAAACATGTCTTGTTCAGTGAGACGATTCAGCTCACACTTAATGTATGTGGATAAACATTCTGTTCACATTGGGCAAAGAAACCCAAATATGGAAACTCTGATTGTTACCATATCTGTAAAAGGCAGAGGCCCTGCTGTCCTGGTTTCCTCAGAGAGATTTTCAAAACTGAAGAGATGTTCTAGAAACTCAGATTCAAACCACGAAGAGCAACATTTATCATCCTGCTCCCCTGTCCTTTCCTATCCTACAAATGCCAAACTGGATAATATGCATTATTCAATGACTTAAAACCTCTCAAGGTTCCATTTGGCTTCCTTATACCCACTTAGGGAACACCATCACTGTCAGAGGTCAAAGCTCATTAGTGCTGGAACCTAAATTCAATGCCCTTGGGAGATAAAATGTAGCTCCAGACAAGGCCTTCCTGGCTCTGATTAATTCATTATGACTCCTGGGTTCTCAGCAGGATAGGTCTCACAAAGTCAGGGTCATATTTGCTATGAAAAGAAACCTGTTTGAGAAAGGGACCCAAGAAAATGAATGAGTGAAGCTTGGTCCAAATGCAGAAGAATTTCCAATACTAATAAAAGAAATTCAGACAAATAAGCAGTATCTGGAAATGACCAAGCCTTTCTAACTGTAGAATGGATGCAAGGATTGAAAACATAATTGAAGAGTCCAGTGAATGGGTGGGTTCTGGAGGTGACCGCAATCTTCCTTCAGAATAATGAGCTATTAGGACTAGAGAGAAAAGAGAGAGCCAAGGAGAGAAAAGGAGTCTGTTGCAGTCCTACAGTCCATAGCAGTTCTGAAATTGAAACCCAAGTGAACCTTCCTCTTTGCCTGCTTCCTCACTCTCACTGTCCACAGAAAGGCTCATAACCCTCCAAGCATCAGCACAAAGACTAAGGAGTAAGACTTCTAGGGGGAAGGCAGCAGGCAGGAGGCACTGCTCCTCAAAGCACCAGGAAGTTCAGGTTCACTCCTGGTATACCATGGGCCACATCCCACCCAAGTTCTTACAGACCTGCTCTCATGAGAGCTCAGAGGTGTCTGTGCATCTTTCCTCTGGTACCTGAAACACTGCCCTCGCTGGGCCAAGGGGACACGAGCATTATTAGTAGGGATGTGGAGTGGAAATTGTTAGCACTATTTGGACAATGTATGAATGCCTCTGATACTAAACTTAAACCCTCATTATCTTATCCCAAAACACACACACACACACACACACACACACACACACACTTCTCTGAACCAAAAGCAAAATAATAATATAAAGGAATCCTTCCCAAGTCTCATGCCTATATGAAGCACCCAGCCTAGGGATCTTCTTAGAATGCAAATTCTAATTCAGTAGGTCTAGATGGAGCCTGAAATTCCACATTTCTAACCAACTCCCAGGTGATGTCCATGCCACTGGTCAAAAGACCATAGTCTGGGTAGCAAGGGACAGATATTACAAAGGCTTAGAACCAAACAAGTCTGGTTTTAAATTCTGGTTTTGCTAATCATGAGCTTTGTGATCTTGGGCTGGTTTCCTAACCTCACACTGCCTCAATTGCCTCATTCCTAAAATGGAAATAATAATACCTAAGATTCACATGAAAATGGTTACCTAAGTTAATGATAAAAAGATCTTTTTTAAAAAAAAAGATTATTTATTTGCTTGTTTGTTTGTTTATTTATTTATTTATTCATGAGAGAGAGCGAGAGAGAGGTAGAGACATAGACACAGGGAGAAGCAGGCTCCCTGCAGGGAGCCCGATGTGGGACTCAATCCCAGGACCCTGGGATCACGACCTGAGCCAAAGGCAGACGCTCAACCACTGAGCTACCCATGTGCCCCAATGATAAAAAGCCTCACTCAGGGGCACCTGGGTGGCTCAGTCGGTTAAGCATCTGACTCTTGACTTCCATTCAGGTCATGATAGTGGTGAGACAGAGCCCCTCATGAGACTCCGTGCTCAGCACAGAGTCTGCTTGTCCCTCTCCCTCTGCTCCTCCCCCTGCTCTCTCTCTCTCTCTCTCAAATAAATAAATAAAATCTTTTTAAAAAATTCTAACACAGTGCCTGGAATATAATAGGGGCTTAATCAATGCCACTTGCTGGCTGTCCCTAAGATTCATGAGGGCAGAGGCGACATCTCTCTGGCCCACTGCCAAAATCCCAATGGCTAGAACGTAGTAGGTACTCAATGGATATATGTTTGTAAATGAATGAATGTATATATGATACACTGACACGTAATATCGGTATTTACATACTCCCTTGGTTCTATGGCTTTCTGCAGGAAAAGAGAAAATGTTTAGAGCACCAGAACACTCTCACCAATAACAAACCATCATTTCACAGAATTCAACATTCACCACCATGTATAACCATGGAGAAAACATATCATTTGTGATGGCTGTATATACTTGAGAAAATGTCTTAAGAGTAAACAAATAAAGACAACATCAGTCTGGAATCTGTATGCCATTAAAGAGAAATTACTATCCTGCTCATTATTTACGGGGCTGTCTGAATGCCAGTGTTATGAAAAACTTAATTCTTAAAACTAAGTTCACTTCGAAAACAAACGCAGAATTGCAAAGAGAGACAAAACAAACCATGGGAAACGAGACCACTTTGTAAAGGGCCATGGGGGCAGTGATACATCCTCTGATACGTGCACACACTTGCTCAGGAAAAATTAAAAATAGAATTATTAACAAATGGTAGAGCTTAATCTTTTAAATCAAAGGCAGACAAGCGAGTCCATCCAAAATTGTTCAACAATCTAAGATTATCTTCAGAAGTCTCATAAAATAAGTGGCATCATTTAAACGGATCCCATTTCCAGGGAGGCGCTGCGAATGGTATGTAGCAAGAAGGGAATATGATTGCCACCTACAGACAGAAGTGGCACTCCCTATGCAAGAGCTAGCCAATCATATTTCAATGTGAAAAAAAATTCAAACAAGTCACCTCCCTCCAACCTCTTTCAAATCACCACACCACATTACTTCATTTAGAATTGCTTTCAAGTCATACAATCATCTCTAGGCATTCTGCTTCTTCATTATCATCATCCTATTTCTAATTTCCCAGAAACGCTGTGCCATTCAACTATCTACTTATACACTATCCGAGAGCCAAAGAGAATGCAAGCCAACGGATTGCAAGCAGGCAAAGGCATCAGAGTGAAAACACGAACCTGCTTACCTGGTAGGAATGGGACCACCCGGAATATATCAGACAATCTGCTGTTTACTGGTTCATAAGGGGAATCTTCGAGCAGATCATTTCCTAAAAACAACAGAAAGCTTGAGCTTAGGTCTGGAAAGCAGACATATTTCAGGGAATTTTTGTTGCTGGATCTAAATTCTAATTATGTTATGATTGTGTAACAAAAAGATGCTGAAACTTTCAGAGATCTCAAATGCATCTATTTGGCTATGGTTATTCTGCATTCCCTCTGCCTCTGTTGTCCTTTTTCTCCCCAGAGTGCCATGAAAACACTGGAGAGCAACCCAGCCTGATCTTGCCAGAAAACTCTCCCACTCTTTGCAAAGGAATGAAATAAGAGAGGAAGGAACCAGTGATGTCACCAGCCCAGCTTACCTCCAGGAGCCAATGGAAGAGAAGTGACCCAAAAGAGGCCCCCAATTCTTTTGCTCCTCAACATGGCATGTGGTCAGAAAGCCAGTACGCTGGCTATTAAACAGTCAGTCTCTAAAACAGGTTTTCATTGTAATAGACTCTAGAGGAAGAGGCTGAGAGGTCAAACCTGTATGTTACAAATTTTGGGTGTCTCAGGAAGAGACACTCAGTGCGCTGGATGTTTGTGTTAGATTTACAAACACCAGCCACCTCTGGCCCACAAGGACGAAGAAACTCCCATTGGAATGGATGCTTGTGACAAGTGGTCCTTTTGCTCCCCAAGCCTGTGTTAACCAAGGTTGAACCACACCAGCTGGTTCAAGACTCAGCTAATCTAAGATGACAAATGGTTTTTCACACATCTGCCTTTGATCAGGTTTTGGGGAGGAGGTAAAGACAGAATAGATCCTGCTGGACCTTTTATTCTTAATTCTCTATCTCATGTCAGAATACACAGAAGGGAGCAAGAAAGGCAAGGAACTCCGGACACGATTCAGGGCAAGTCTTTGTATTATTACCCTCTGAAGCCAGCTCTCCTTGGAGAGAAGTTGTGAGTTCCTGGCCTGTCCTTTCAGATCTCTGACCAGGTTTCAGAGAGGTCAGCAGGCCCGAGGGGGAGGGGGGAAGGGTGGTATCCCCCATCCCCCTCGTGGGTTTTCCAACAACCAGGCCCCAACAATGCTGCTCGGGAGGCAGCAAACACCAGCTGCTGCTGTCCCTGGGGGCCAATGAAAGGTCCTCATTCTGCAGCTGGGGAGAAGCGAGGGAGGATGAGGTCAGCGGGACCCGGCCGAGGGGCCCGCCTGCCTTGGAGGGGTGAGGGATGGGGGTGGGGGGCCAGGACGCTCGGCGCGTACCCTGCAGGCTCTGGTACATGCTCCAGTAGATGCGCAGGCAGTTCTTCTCCTTCTTCATGCCCCGCTTGCAGCGGCAGTTGTACAGAGACTTCTGCTTGAGGGCCTCCATGGCACTGCGGCACTCGTCCTTGGCCTCCAGACCCGATGTCAGGCTGAAGTTGGTCTCCTTGCCCGCCACGCACTGCCTCAGCGTGCGGTACTTGGTGCTGCAGCTCTGCTCCTTCAGGCACTGGTCGCTGGCTTTCACGCAGTCCAGGCGGTCCCCGCCGCTCACCTCGGCCGCCAGGAGCACGTCTGCGGGCGGAGGGGGGCAGCGTGAGGGCGGCCCGGCAGGGACGCGGAGCCCGGGGCTCCGGGGAGGGAGGGCGCGCGCCCGCCCGGGCTCCGGGGGTGCCCGGCGCTCGCCCGCGGGCCCGCCCCTCTCCGCGGGGGAGTCCTCTCGGCGCCCCGGGATCTCGGGCCGCCTGCTCTCCCCCCGCACACACGCCGCCGCCGCCCCGCGTGGTTTTGCGGGCTTTTTGCGGTTTGCCCGGGCGCCCGCGCTGCCCGCCGCGCGTGCCGGCCCCGCCCGACGGGAGCCCGGGGGCTTTCCCGGGAGGAGGGCGGCCGCGGGCTGGGCGCGGGGCGAGGCGCGGACGAGCCCGGGTCTGCGAGCGCTCGGACACGATTCGGGGAAAAGTTTTCCCTTCGAAGTTTGCTCTCCCAGGCGGACGCTCGCCCACACCCCACCTGCCCGCCGCGCCTCCGCGAGCTCCCGGGACGCTCGAGGAGCGCTGGTCCCCGGGCTGGGGACGCGGCGGGGTGGAGTGGAGTGGAGTGGAGTTGGGGGGGGGACTCGCACCCCTTAAGTCTCCGCCAGGATAGGCCATTAAAAAGCACAGGAGATAAAAAAAAAAATCCAAGCACAAAACCTGCGGGCAAGTACCGCGCCATCCCCGCCTCCCAAGCCCTGGGTGCGGAGGATTCAAGACCCCCTTCCCCAAAACGAAACTTCGCCCTCCCTCCCACACTGAGCGCAACAGCGCAGCAATTTGGGGGGTGGGGGGCCTGCCGCGAGTGCCCCTCGGAAGGACTCAGCGGGCTGGAAAGCGCGGCGGCCTCGACTTACCCAGGAGCGGCAGCGCGAAGTACAAGGTCGCCAGGAACATGGTGCCGGCGCGCAGCTGGTCCCCGCCCCCCCCCCCAAAAAAAAAAAAATCCCGAGCGGCCGCTGGGTCTCGTCGAGGGAGCTCAGCATACAGCGATCCCCGGCCCGCCGCGCTGCTCTGGCCGCCCAAAGTTCAGCTCCATCCAGGGCGAGAGGAAACTCCCGGGTCCGTCCGCCGCCGCCGCCGCCGGCGACTCAGCTCCCGGCGGGCGGCTGGCGCGCGGGTGGGAGGCGGTTCCGCTTTTCGGGGTTCAGGTCTGACCCAACCTGGAAGGGAGAGCGCGCTTTGAAATGAGAGCCCAGAGCGCTAGAACCTCCCCCGCCCCTCTGCCCTCCCCTGCTCCCGCCTTGGGGGACTTTCTAGCGCCCGGGTGAGGGCCCACCCCTAACCGGGTCGGGGCGCAGGAAGGGGGCGCGCGGGGGGGAGGGGGCGCATGTACGTGTATTCCGGGGAGCCGCCCGCACGGGCGGGGGTGGGGGGGGGCTGGAGAGGTCGGACGCGAGCTCCCAAAGTCCAAGGGGTGTCTATCGGGGCCAACCCAAGAGGCTGAGCGCAAGCAAATAAATAAATAACGTTACTTTCCGAGCGCCGCGAGCGGAGCCAGCAGCTGCCTGGGGTCGAAGCACACGGCGCGGCGGCGGCTCTTTCTCCAGCGCTGGCGCAGAAAGAGCCCCTTCTCGCTGGAAGTTCGCCGCCCCCTCCTCCAGCCAGCTCGCTCGCTCGCTCCGCCGCCGGCCCTCTGCACCCAAACCACCAATCGCTGCCCCCGGTCGCCGTCCCCCGCTCCTCCCCGGGCTCGCCGCCTTTCAGAGGCAGCCGGGCGAGGGGGAACCGACGTCCCGGCTGGAGGCGAAACCCGGCTCGCGCGCCCCTACCCGCGGTGCGTCCTCCGCTCCCTCCCCGGTGTCCGCGCCGCGCTCACGCTCACCCAGAGCCCTGGACTCAGGCTCGTCAACGCCACCGCCCGGGGCGAGCGCAGCGGCCGGCAGCCCCGGAGCGCCAGGGCAGGTGCAGCCCCGAGCCGAGCGCGTCCCCGGGACCCCAAACTTGAAGGGCGCCTGCAAGAGGGGCGAAGGGGACGGAGGAGCGGCGATGGGTTCCCAGATCCACAGAATGAGAAAACTCTCTCCAGATGCCACCAACCTGGACTCAACCGACCGTGTCCAGCTGTGTACGGGAGCCAGTTTGCTTATTTATTTATTTATTATTTATTTTGAGGGGTGTCCCCGCCCCTTCCTTCCCTTTCCGGGCTCACTTCTCTGCGCTAGGAAGAAGATGCGGTAATCTTCGAGGCTCAGAGGGGCAGAGTGGGGCCAGGACGATTTCCGAGCAGAGCCCCCCTCTGCTCTCGGATGCCGGTGAGGGATACTGGAAGCCGCGCGGAGGCTTAGCGGAGGCCAGATTTCCTAGCCTGAGGCCCCTGGGCCTGCTCCGGCTCCCGCCGCCCCATTGCACACCCGCCAGCCCCCTCTGAGGCTCGCGCACAGGGCGCCGCAGATGAAGACCGCGGTCGGCGGCGGGACGCGGCGCCCGCCCCAGCAGCGCGCACAGGACACGCAGCGCTATGCAGCGGGCCGCGAGTGCTGCCAGTCTCAGTCTCTCTCTCTCTCTCTCTCTCTCCCCCTCCCTCCCCTCCTCGCTGTCACAGACACACACACACACACACTCAGACACAAAAGGGCACAATGCACAAGGGCTCTTTCTTCCGTCCTAGTGCAATCGAACCAGACCCTCCTTCCGAACACAAAGTTTTTCCCCACGTCACTCGCGGCTATGACTCAAGACTTGGCGCGTTAGAGACGCACTCGGACTCGGACCCTCGGCGCCGAGATCGCAGGATGTGCCCACGCACCGCTCCACGCCAGCGCGCGCGCACTCACTTGTGCACACGCAGCCTCTCTCGCTCTCGCTCTCATTCCCGGAGCTCGGGCAAGGAGACGAAAGCGGAACCCCCCGGGCCACTGCATTTAAACCAGACCTGGCTTCGGGAAATCTATACGCTAACCTCCATCTTGACTGTTCCAAGAGTAATTTTAAAAATAATAATAAATTTAAACGCCCAACACGTACACAGCCTTTCGCCCCAATATCTGGGACTACTCACTCGTTCGCAGCCCTGCTGCGGACACCACCACCGCCCCCCCCTACTCCGTCCCGAACACACACTCCTCTCCCCGTACACCGGGGGGCGCCCGGGACAACCAAGTCTACACTGGGTCCAGAGAGGGGGCTGTGGAACAGCCCACCGTGGCGGGGGGCGGTCTGGCCCCTCAGGGCTTGGGTTCGGGATCTTTGCAGACATCCAAGTTCCCCATTCCTGGAAACCGAGTTTGAATCCGGTCTGGGTGAGCTCAGCTGTCAAATCTGCAAACCCATCGCACCAGACAATGGGCCGCGGAGGAGAGAAAAGGAACGTTCCCCTTGATCGAGGGGGGTTAATTGAAAAGGGCACGCGCTTTGCGTAAAGTTTGAGGCGGGGGAGCAAGGGCTGGAGACGGGGAGGAGGGAGGAGGAGGGGGTGGGTAGCTCTCCAGGCAGCTCCCCACCAGCCAGGCGCGCCCCTCCGCTGCGGTAGCGGCTCAGACGCTCGCTGCGCATCGTTTGGAGTGTGTGTCTGCGCCTCCTCCCGCGCGCAAAACCCCGGGGGATACCTCTCGGATCTGCACGCTTGTGCACGTGTTCCTCAGGGACAGGTATGAGAGGATTGATGCCCTCGTGGAGCACCCTTCTCAACACATGCGCGCGCGTGCACACACACACACACACACACACACACAGTCGCACCATACACAGATTTCTTGTTCAGTGTATCAGTTTACACTTGGTTGTTGAGTAAACAAAGCAAACATATGTCACATTTTCGCGACAGATGGTTCAGACCAAGGGATACTTAGTTCTCCTTCTCTAACAGTGGTAGCAGTGTAAGTTGCTGGGCGGAGTAAGCGGAAATGTAATTGAGTCTTCTCATCAATTTCTTCACCTTAAGTTTATTCTCATGGTTTCACACGCAAACCAGAGAAATCCCGGGGAGGTGGTTTTTATAAGAGGCTGGCCCAAAGTGAATTAAGAGTTTATCTGAAGAATGTGTTTCTCCATGGACACCCAAAACATGAAACACTCTTTCGTCATTCCACTTTATAAGTGGAGGTCAATGTCTCCCTTTGGGAAATCAGCAATTAGAATTCCAGTTCTCAATGGATAGACGAGGATCCATCATTGCTGACCACATGGGATGATTGGATGACAATGAGGTTTCATTTGAGGATATCACTCACATCTTTTGTAAGTGTTCTTTGTTTAAAAATGATTCATGTTACCCTAATGTTCCACAGACACGTTTTAAAGAAGAATTTAATGGGGTGGGGGAAAGGGTAGAAAAAAAATTCCCCGAATTTAAAATATGGGACTTCTTTTAAAATATTTGTAGCTTCAAAAATATTTTTGAACCATTCACTCGCACTAGTCCTCATTAAGTTCTTATTGATGGTGAAAACAGAGCTTTATTTTCTTAAAAAAAAAAATAAACCACAAGCCACCGTGTGTTATCCAAGACAATAGTCCTAGCCATATGGCTATTTCAATAAAAATTAATTAAGGATGAAATGAAAGAAAAATGCAGTTTCTCCATAGCACTTGCCACATTTCAAGGGCTCAGTAGCTGCAGGGCTAGTGGCCACCATGTGGGACAGCACAGATACTAGACACCTCCATCATCACCGAAAGTTCTATTGGACAGTTGGTGTGAAATTAGTTAATGTGATGTATATATAAAGTTCTTAGCATAGTAGAATAATGCAGGCCTGAAATGAGTGCTTTATAAGAAGCAGCAGTAGTAGTTGTTATTGATGATCATAATGACTTGCTACTATTTTGAAGAAGGTGAAGGATCCATGAAAAATGGCTCAAAGCTGGTCTGTCTTCAACTCAGAATAGAGACCATCAGGCAAAGAAACGAAAGTAAGGGGAATGGATGTGTCAAAAGCTGATCTTCCAAGAGATCTGTATGTGGAAGGATGTGGCCTTTACTCTGCCTTAAGACTTCTTATAGAAGAAGTTAACAAAAAAATTACTGCTTTATTACTATATCCACTAGCTTCTAAAGGTGAGACAAACACACAGCTGGAAAGCCCTTGGAATGTGGAAGATAGGAATGCATGCGACCTACTCTACTAATATTATCTCTGTTTCCTTGGAGCTTATCTGTTCTCATGTGTACAGGACTGATTTCAGGATGAAAGGTGACATCAAAATATCAAATATTATTAATAATGATAAAGGTTCATGCCATCCTCTGTGACATGTTTTCTCAGTGGGAAATTGGTTTTAATGCTACAAAATTAGGTTCAATCTACCCACAAGCATGTGAAATGAGCAATTTTCTTGCATTTCTTCATGTAAGTGTATTTTCATAAGTTAACAGATGAGTCATGGTGAGAATGACAGTTTTATTCCATGCAGTATTTTGTCTCCTACTCTCATTGCAATGGCCCTACAGAGTATAACGTAAAACACATTCATTTTGTAAAATCATACTGCTCAAAAATCACTCAAGTTTATCTAACTCAAACTAGTCCATCAAAGTATTTGACATTAGACAGTTTGGCAGACTTAAATCCAGCTACACAAAACCACTCACTATTCCCTAAACGTACTATGCTTTTATTTATTAGTAGTAGTAGTATTCTTATTTGCTAATGCTACGCATTTGCCCATGCTGCTTCATCTGCCCAATACGTGCTTCATCCTGAAACTTTAAGATGCAGCTCGGCTCCAACAGGCCACTAAGGATAATAGCAAGGACTCCTTTAGCCAGAATGAAGAGTTCTCTGTAGTGTATTCCCATGGCACTGTTGGGATTTTTATTATACCTGTTGTGACATTGACATTAATCGCTCTGTCTCTTCAAGTGGAATGTGAGTTCCTTGAAGGCAAGAAGATCCTCTCTTCTTCTTCTCCTCCTCCTCCTCCTCCCCTTCCTCCTCCTACTTCTCCTTTTTTCTGCATCCCCAGCATTTAGACTGATGACTGACACATAGTCACCTCCAATAAATGTATATTGATTGCATGAATAATGAGTGATGTTGTTTCTCATTTTCCTCTGACACAATAATTCTACTGAAAGGTTTACATAAAATCCCTTTACTATACGAATAATACTAAATATAAGTACTTCATGCAATTACTGATATTGCTGTTCCAATAATAGTATCAAATAGGTATTATTCCTTTGGGGATTTGACATTTACATTTTTTTTTAAACAAAACCCATTATTGTAATAGAATGCTCTTTTTCTGGTTCACTTTAATAGTAACATATGACATATTTCATTTCTGGGAAATGATAGCTTGCCTTAGGTCATATTTTAAGGCATAAAGCCAGAGGCAGAGTAGCGTTCCCACCTGAAGTTCTCTAATCTTCTAGAAATGTGTCTCTCTCTGGGAGAGAAGGATTTAGAAGGGCCAGATTACAATTACCCTGGAGGCTTCATCCTCGAAGGCAAATTTTTAAAAGCCAAATTGCCCCCACAAAGTGTAGAAAATGCTTTTATAGACACACAAGACCTCGTGGGATCCTTTAGGAAAATGAGAAAATGGTGGTCGTCCAAACACTGAAGCTGCTGTAAGGGGTCTACATGCTGTCACAGATCTCACTTTCTAATGTTATACTTCAACATTTGC